GTTAGGATGGCGGAAGAGCAAGAACGGGAGGTGAATCATGAGATTGAGCGGGAGCGTCAGGTTGAGCGGCCTCCAAAGGTTGACCCAGCAACGCATAACCTCCACAGCGACATCCTCTCATTCATTAGTACGGGAAAACTCCCTTATCGTTCGACGCACATCATTCCACTGCTCGCACCCACCGGGATTGACAACGCCCTGGACTCGGCGACGGTTTGGTCCCCATCTCCACGCGCCACTGTAGACTTTGCAACCACAACAAGATACCCCAGTGGACAACCCTTGACAGACTACCTCCGCCCCGTCAATTGGGTCGTGTCAAGCGGATATGGGAAGGACAGCGTCGCGATCGTCATTAGCCCATATGAAGCGAACGAACTGCTCTCCGACATCCGCAAGAGCGACAAGGTCCGGTTGCATATCTATGCACCAAGAGTCACTGCCTCCATGCGGACCTTCTCTGACCTCACGTTCCACACCATCCCAGAGTCGGCGCCGATAGTGTGGACATCCCCTGCACACATCCGAACAACGTTGAATCTGTTTGCGGGCCAACTCTATTTCGACAGCAAAGAAGAGTATAACAGGATATGTGTGTTATTTGCGCTAAGCATGGCACATCCGGATGCGAAGGAGATCGAGGTCGATGGGTTCGTTCACCCGTCATACCGTACCGGGGAGTACTCGCCGCTTGCCGCCAGCGTGATAACTACATTCAAGAAGTTGACGGGACTGCGAAGGAAGGGAATGGGATATGATAAGACGCACCTTGGTCGGGTTTTGGATGCTCGTCCTTTGAGCGAGTCGGAGATTATGTAGTTGGTCCAGTCTCAGGCTGAGAACGAGTCATAAGCTGTCGCGCGTTCAATATTTACTGTAGAATGTACAAGTTCCTGGTTTCAAAAGACTGTATTTGGTAGTAGCAAGGAGAGGACCCGTGCAGCGCCGCCAGGAAAAGGAGAGAGGAAGAGGAGACGAACGGCACGGGGAACTGACATCGTACGAGGACTGGGTATATCTTTATGCTTCGTTACCTTCAGGACAAGTAGTGGGCCTTTACGGCGCCGCTGGCCGATAGGGGAATACTGCGCCCCGTACGGGAAGGTTAAGAGCCAGGCGACAGGTGTTTCGGTCTCGGAAAGAGAGGTGGCATCGTACTACGACCGGTGGGCTGTACTACGGTAAACAGAGACTGCTGCGAATAGAGGCAGGGAAAAACAGAACATGTTTGAGCATCCAGAGTGTGGGCGGAAGCACGAAGTGCTCCTCGATCGAATATGAGGTGGGTATAGTGTCCGAGGCGAGGTCGCGACAAGCGGGCAGATACCCGAAGCGAATCGTCGAGCGTCGGTACTAAGAGCCCCATCATACGCCCATTACTAGAGAGTGTCTGGGAGTGGCGGGTGGTGAAAAAAGAGCCATATTCTTAAAATCGTATGGCGAAGAGGTACGACTAGTGGCGGTACGGAAGAGAACGATAGGGCACGTGCTGCCATTTCATTCGCACTAAAACTCAACTCTACGCCTACGCTCGTACCTCGCTCCGGCTTAGACCAGGAATACTACATAAGGATTACGACTTGGCTTTATTGGAGTATTTCTTGATGGAAAAGAGAGTGGGCGGAAGCAAAAAGTGCGTCTCGATCAAAAATGGGGATATGTAGGCGATGTCGACGGGTTGGCGGGCCACCAGGAGCGATCTGATGAGCATTGGAGTCATTGGCCTCATCATCGATCCGTTTTGGCGGATTTTCTGGGTGCGGCATGGAAGAAGGGAGTCAGTACGTGCCGCCCGGTTCAGTCGCGCAAAGACTCGCTTCGTCTCAGACGGGCAACTTTCACGAGTCGTGCAGAGTCTCAGTGACAGTAACCCTGACCTTTGCCGCATCCGTTGACGGGATAGAGCGAATTCGTACAATCACCCTTGCAATCACCGGCAGTAAGATTCGGGACTACATATTTCCTTGCTAGAATACAACCATCTTGAGCTTGTAAGGCGATTTCAATTCAAAAGAATTCAGAGTCGACCGGTGATTACCTCTAGCAGTAGGAGCGCCAAGGCTAGAACTCCAGAACGATCACCTCACCGCGATCACCAGAGCGGATCGGTCGAACCATCAAAGCGCAAGAGAAACGAACACAATACACAAATGCCACGTAGCAGGCCAGAAACCGAAACACTTGAGCAGAAGGAAACTAAATGACCCCTATGCGAAGACGCAGAAATCCAGACCTGGGGCTGATGCGGCTTGGAAATGGTCCCGCGCGGGTCGATCGGTACATCCACGGCCTTATAACGGCCTTGTAATTGTAAAGACAAGAGTACGCATCTTCGAATTCCATAGAGCATTCCGTCAGCGATTGGCCGCCGCATATAAACAGCACGCGTAGAGACCGGCGATGGAAACGAACATACGATGCTGAGCGGCTCGAGAGAAATGATATTTGAGATTCCCAAAGAGGATATTTGATTTGGCGAGCTATTACGTTGGAGCGAGTGAGTATATGCGGTCATGACGTCCGCGTCGCTAGTCGCTCCACAAGACATCACACTCCACCTCGACCCCCCTATTGCTGGATCCCCTCCACACTCGATCTCCAATACAATGTCTTTCGTCAAACTCAGCATATTCGGCACTTCCTTCGAGGTAAATCGCCTCGGATTCCTCGTTTCTTGTCTCACTCCTCTATCCATCCCAGGTCACTACAAGATATGTCGATCTACAACCCGTCGGCATGGGTCCGTCATTTTCACCATTTTCACTCTCCGAGCGCTGTTTTAACCCTTAATGCAGGCGCATTCGGGCTGGTATGGTACGCCTTCTCGTTTCCGGCTTGCTCTTCCTCCGCCGACTCCATATCGACGCATACATCCATGCAGCTCTGCGAAGGATCAACTGACAGGCGCGTCTGTCGCTATAAAGAAAATTATGAAGCCCTTCAGCACTCCCGTCCTATCGAAGCGCACCTATCGCGAGCTTAAGCTCCTCAAGCACATCCAGCACGAAAATGTGAGTCTCTGCATCTTCACCTCTTCCTTCCCATTTCACCAAACCTGTTCCGTTTTCTTACCAGATCATCAGCCTCAGCGATGTCTTCATCTCTCCGTTGGAGGATATGTACGTCGAGCTCCTCCCCTCCACCCAACTCCCGATCATGCTTGTCTCGCGTGCTCACGCATCAATCTTATCAGCTATTTCGTCACTGAACTCCTCGGCACTGATCTTCACCGACTACTTACGTCCCGACCATTAGAAAAGCAGTTTATTCAGTACTTTCTATACCAGATCTTGGTACGCCTACCCTGTCAATATCCATCCTTCACGCCGTCCTTATTCTCCTACTCAGCGCGGGCTCAAATATGTGCATTCAGCAGGTGTCGTCCATCGCGATCTCGTGAGAGCCTACTTTCCATTCGTCTTATCTCCCTCATTTTTCGCCTTTAGAAACCAAGCAACATCCTCGTCAATGAAAACTGCGATTTAAAGGCGCGGTCGCATTCCCTATCTGGCACTCCGAAGCTGACAACTCTGTAACTTAGATCTGCGATTTTGGTCTTGCCCGAATACAGGACCCGCAGATGACGGGATACGTGTCGACTCGTTATTATCGGGCCCCCGAGATCATGCTTACGTGGCAAAAGTACGACGTCGCCGTAGATATCTGGAGTACAGGGTGCATCTTTGCCGAGATGCTCGAGGGAAAGCCTCTCTTCCCTGGAAAGGATCGTACGTTTTCATTTTCATTTAAAAAACTTCCCGTCTCTGAGTTGGTTGCGCACTGGCAGACGTGAATCAATTCTCTATCATTACTGAACTGCTCGGCACCCCACCCGACGACGTAATCGAGACAATTTGCAGCGAAAACGTATGCATACCCTACGCCCTATGTTCGCTCGTGTACTTATCGGTGGCGTGGCTTAGACTCTCCGCTTCGTGCAGAGCCTGCCGAAGCGGCAGCGGGTGCCATTTAGCGAGAAGTTACGGTGCAATGACGAGAGTGCGCTAGATCTACTCGAAAAGATGCTTGTGTTCGATCCGCGCAAGCGAATCAACGCTAGCGAGTGTCTTTCCCACGAGTACGTTTCACCATACCACGACCCAACGGACGAGCCCGTTGCCGCAGAGAAGTTTGATTGGAGCTTCAACGACGCCGATCTTCCGGTCGATTCATGGAAAGTGATGATGTACGCGGAGATCCTCGGTACGTACCTTCTCTCAGCTACGTGGGTCATGTTCGTGTACCAATTTGGGGATCTTAAGAATTCCATGAAGTGACGACAGACCCAAATGTGCCCAATGGAACCGTCCCAGAAGGCGCGCTTGCAGTTTCGGAAGACCGCTTGGTGAACGCTGTTACCGATAACGCTGCGGGTTCCGTGCCGAGCGGGGCTTCAGCAACTAGTACTGCTCCCATTGGTACTACTACTACGACCACGACCACGACCACTACGACCACGGCTACCACAGAGCCCCCATCATATGCCGCAGTGGCTACAGTACCTGTAACAGCAACCAACTAGCGCCACTGCGTGGCAATTAAGACAAGAACAAGGGATATCCTGTACGTATGTAATCGTGCAATGCGATGTTTGTATGCTATAAGGCTGGCGGGTACACGATAGTCAATGCCATTTTTCTTTCTTTTCTCTCTTTGTTTTTTTATTAGGACAATGACTGTCTTCTGGGGCCAGTGTAGAGGAGTAGATTGCTTGTGAGGTGCGTACGATACACGGTAAATACATGTATAATAATCTACGCCACGAATCCTCGGTTGGGCGCACCGTGGAGATGACGCGGGTATCGATTGTTGTAGCCTTTGTCATGTAATACACGCACATGATGGACTCATGTCAGTCGATCAACACACAGCTAATAGCAGCGCACTTAGCCCGCGCATGTCTATGGAAGGCTATGCTCAGCCCCTTTTGTTCCATTGTCTGGTGGGAAGCGCCTGTAAAAGGTATCTGGTTGACTTGAGAAAGCGCAAAAAGAAGTAGTAGCCCACCGCGAGGGTCGAACTCGCAGCCTTCAGATTACAAGTGAGCGTAATCAACACCCGCCTAAGAGTCTGACGCTCTATCCGATTGAGCTAGGCGGGCACTGACCTTCGATTGGTATGCGAAAGCTATCATCTGCGAAGGCTTGACTGCAATGATGATGTAGACCGGCCCGGATTCAGCTTCCGTCAATCACAAATAAATTAGACGGGCCGGTGTTCCTGCGGCCACTTTAAATAAAGGACGTTTGGACCTTCTAACCAGACCGACATGCCATCGGGTGCAGATACAACCCCGAAGACGCGACGCCCGACTGCGTTTGAAGTGAGCTTCCCTAATGAGCATGACGATGACCCAGAAGACGAAGACGAGAAGGACGCGGTCGATGAGGGCCCGGTGGACGATGTGCAGATTTCTCAGCACGGCAAACGGAAACACGATTCTACTGCAGGATCTGACATTCGTGTGGGTTTTTGTTCGCGTCTTGCCTGGTTTTCATGCCACTCACTTCGGGTGGGAATTGTAGCCAGCGAAACGCCGCAGCCAACACGCTCCATCTGGATCCATCGAGGAGAATGAGGAGAAGGAGAAGTTTTATATCCCGCGTCCGGACGAACTCCCTGAGTCCGCCTCAGGCATAGCCTTCCTCCTCGGCGAAGAGGACGCGCCAAACGCGTCAGACGCGGGGGTCGAGGGGGACAAAAAGCCTGTACGCGTGCTACACGATTGGACCATCTTTGACGCGCGCCCGCGTCCAAAGAAGCAGGGAGACCTCGCGCTTCCCATGCTCCCACTCGACGCCCTCGAGACGTCCTCATCTGGGTGCGCGCCCGAAGGCGCTGGTATAGCTGCACCACTGTTCGAGAACGACGAGGATGCCGGGCAGGAAGATGATGGCGATTACGACGACGATGAGGAGGGTGAGGAAGGCGTGAAGGCCGTGTCGGTACGCTTGAGACTGGGCGCGCTGCTGCGGTACACCATCGACTATACCAAGCGTGACGAGTACGCCTTCCTCTTTGGTTCTCCTGCGCATTTCTCATTTATCGGTTGCAGCCCGATATTCATCGAGACTACCGCGGCGTGGTACATCCTTGGACTGCCCTCGCGTGATTATCGCGCGTACTACGCGCCGTTCTTCCGCGCGCACAAGATCGCACAGGCGCTCGTATGTGCGCTTATCAGCGATGCACACATGTCGCTCGAGGCGTTTATCAGCGATCTCGAGGCCGGCGCTTGCACGGCGATGGTGCTGGGCAACGTCGGCACGTGTACCCCGAGCGACTTACAGGATGCCGTACGTTTTAAATTGCCTGCCTTTACGACATGAAGGCTAAAGTTATCTTGACGTCTGGCTAGATCCCCGCGATTCACGCGGCCCTGGACACGCTCGACGAGTCCACCTATCGCACCCTGCGCGATACCCCGCTCCTCCAACTCGTCCTCAATGCTTCCGGCACGATAAGAGGCGCCGCTTCTCTACTACCTCTGCGGCGTGTGCGGGCGCCCCAGGACCAAGGTCCACGCGTATCCCTGCGCAGCGCCCCGTTCCGTCTCCTCCCATCGACCATGGGGAACCTCGACCTCGCAGTTTTGCGTCCCGAGAATCAACGCCCGACGCACGTTACGCCACGCATCGCCGAGCTCGCTGCGGGCCTGTTCCGCGAACAACTCATTGTTCTTGGTCGGCGGTCGTCGGCGGTGACGCAGAGGCGCGCAGGGGGCTGGAGTGGGAATGCCAAGGATGAGCGGAGCTGCTTGCTACGCGCGATCGCGATGGCGCTGTGTCCTGAGGGTACGCAGAGCATCGAGGCGCCTACAAGCTGGCGCTTGCATCCGCGCCAGCCGTTCATGCGCCGTGTCGGGCTGGTGGATATACGTGGGCTGGTTCCTAAGGCGTTTTTCGAGGTACGTGGGCTTGTGCAAGATCCCGATTGATTGGTGCAGACGCACTTCGTATAGGTCGGGGACGTCGTTATCGTGCCTATTGGCGAGGACAACGCTAAGCGGGGGCACGAACCCGCTACACTGCCGCCAAAGCCAGAGGCAACGCCACGTGACTCGCGACTCGCGGATTACTTCTGGTGCGTACGCGTTTTTCCCTGACGTTCTGTATATGATGAGCTTGGCTGAGGGCAGGTTCGGTCGTATCGTGCATATCAATGGCGAGGACGAACGCGTGCACTTGCAGTGGTTCGACCACGCTCCCAACACGTTCCTCGACGACATCGCCGACCCACGCGAGTTGTACCTCACGCCGCTCTGCGACACGCTGCCCCTCGTCGCGCTCTGCGGCACCGTGCCCGTCGAAGATTTCTCTGCGCGCGCATCGGTCCCGGATGACTACGAAGGGTACTTCTTCCGCTTCGTATACGACAAGACAGACGCGTCGTTTACGGAGCCGCTGTCCACTCCGCCGCCCACGGACCCGCCGCATAACTGCGCAGTCTGTGCGCGCCGCGAGGAGGAACAGATTGAGGCGCATGGGCGCGTCGTGCGCCGTGCTGGTGGTGTCATAGGCGTTGCTGTTCACGGCACGACGTTCCACATTGGAGACTTTGCGCTCGTGCGCGCCGAGGCGGGCCCTTCGCGCATCGCGCAGCTCGTCGGTGTGTTCTCGAGTGATCCGGTTTGGGTAAAGCTGCAGTTGCTGGGACGCGTATCCGACCTCGCGGACATATTACCGCCCGACGAGCTCCGCGACGAGGTACGCGTTCCCCCCGGCGCATCCCTGCCTGCCTATTCGTTCTGAGTGCCTGCTTGCAGCGCCATTTGTTCTTCACGAACGAGTTCGAAGAGGCGCCGGTAGAGCATCTGCTCGAGCAATGCTATGTCCTACATCATGACCTCATCTTCGACATGGAGCTCTGGGCTACCCTCGGCCCAGCACACTTCTACTATCGCTACCGCTTCGCGCTGCGCAAGCCTAAATCGTGGGACGAGCGTGTGCCGCTTGAGGAGGACGCGGGTATCGGGTGCGAGACGTGCGCGTATGCGCTACAGGCGCGCCTCGCGGAGGTCGTCGCGTTCGAGGAGGAATCGCAGGCGTCCAAGTTGCGCGTGCTAGATGTGTTTGCAGGCGCGGGAGCGATGAGCCTTGGTATGGAGAGCGGCATGAACGGGATGAAGACGACGTATGCGATCGAAATTGCGCCCAGTGCAGCGCGGACATTCCGGTGCGCCTTCCTCCTGTTTTTTTTTCACTTTACTTGTGTTTTTCATCTTTGGTTTGGCAGACGGAATTCTCCGGGAACGATCGTATACAACCAGTGCGCGAACGAGGTGCTGCGGTATGCGATTAAGAAGCACCGCGGTTTGCTTGCGGACGACGAAGTGCCGAAGGACATCTATGATGACTCGCGCCTGCCGTCGCCCCCACGGCCAGGCGATATCGACGTGATCGTAGCCGGCTTTCCCTGGTGCGTGTCGCGGGCCATACTACCACTGCCCGCTGACGCGCATAGGGCCCACCGATCAGCCAACCTCACTCGCAGCTGAACATGTTCCAAAAGGCAAACGACGTAAAGAGTAATCTCATACTAAACCTGCTCTCCTGGGTCGACTTTCTAGAACCTGCGTATTGCGTATTCGAGAACGTGCGCGGGTTCCTCAGCTATAATCTTCGTGCCGTGCAGCTCGACGAGCATCGCACCGCGGGTGGGATCACCATGGGCGGCCTCAAGTTCCTCGTACACGCCATGCTCGCAATGAAGTACGTGCATTTACCCCCACACATACCAAAGCACTCATGGCCCTCCGCAGCTACCAAGTCCGCTTCTGCCTGCTTCAGGCAGCGCACTACGGCACGCCACAGACGCGCGTACGCTTCTTCCTCCTCGCAGCCCGACACGGACATCCTCTCCCAGCTGCACCACAGCCCACACACGATTTCCCGCCTACGAACCGTCTCGAAGTCCGTTTCCCGAATGGAGATATCGCGCGTGCCGTACGGGCCGAACCTGGCACCGCGCCGTTCCGCTTCGTGTCGATCGACGACGCCATCAGCGATCTCCCGCGTTTTGACTGGTGTGTTCCCAACCCCTGGACTGTGATTTGGCTAACGCGCCGCGGGGATGCAGGACGAACCCGAGCTTGCGTCGCTTGTCGGCGCAGAAACGTGCTGAGGCGCGCGAGCGCGCACAGAGCATTCCGTCGTTGGTATGTGATCAGGCGAAGAAACGTATTGGCTTCGAGGGACCCGTCTCGGGCCTTGCGCTACGCTATCACCATCCGCCGCGTACGTCGTTTCAGGCGTGGTGTCGTCGGAGACGTACGGAGGACCTGCAGCATTTCACGCGGGCGCTGAAGCCCGCTACTGTCGAACGGTGAGCGGACTTGCATGCGTTTACGTGGGATTTAATTTATTGGTGGGTCATTTTAGTGTCATTAATATACCACTGATTGCCCGCGCGGACTATCGATGTGCGTGCTTATTTTATACTTTTTCCGTACCGTCTGAGTCTTTGTCCGCAGCATTGGAGAAGGAGCATTGGGAATGGCAATTCTCAGACCCTGCCTCTGCGATCGCAAGGAAGGGCTTCCGACCAGGTACGAGCACGTCTGGCACTTCCTCGGAAAAACTTGATCTGCTCTCTTTCAAGGACTCTACGGGCGACTGGATAAGGACTACGTCTTCCAGACGACGGTGACAAACGTCGAGCCGACCGCCAAGCAGTCCCGCGTTTTGAATCCCTACGTACGCGAGCATATCTTCTTTCCCTGACTACTTATCTTCTGTCCCGCAGTGCCATCGCATGGTCACCGTGCGAGAACTGGCGCGCTCGCAAGGTTTCCCTGATTCGTTCGTTTTCCATTCGCTCAACGATGACGTCGTAACGGTGCGCCGAACAACCTCCTTCAGTCGGCCTTGACGTGTATTCATTTTCTCCCCTTTAGATGCATAGGCAAATCGGAAACGCGGTTCCTTGGCCCGTTTCTGCTGCGATCGGACGTGAGCTGCGCGAGGCGCGGCTTAAAAAATGGCGCAAGGACCGGCAGCGGGATGCCATGGTCATTGGATAACCTGGCTACCCTTCTCTAATGCTTCACTATAAAATGCGGGACTTTTGGATCATAGACCTCACAAATTATACCCGATACCT